CCCCCCCCCCCACCATCCTCAGGGAGACATGGCTGCCCGCGACCTTCGCCAGCCCCAGGGCGCACATTCGATTGCTGAGTGACTGGCCTTGTCCAGGACCCCCCCGTGCGAACCGTACCCATGATGGTACCCAGTCCTGCCAGTTCACCATTCAGGTTGAGCCGCGCAAGCTTCAGCGGCACTGACTGGCTCCTGGCTGGTTGATGCAGGTCGGTGGGAGGCGAGTAGAGGCATGGTGATTGGGCGGCTGTGATGGGCGCTTAACGAATGGGACCAGGAGCTCAACGGCAAATGACAGCTGCGTGATGGATGTCCTAGGCTCTGGACCGGCTGGGCTGTGTACTGTGACTCCCGGCTTTTGGCTCCCTTAGGCAGTCGTGCAAGCGCCCGGCCCATCCCGGAGCACGTGGATATGGCTGTTCATGGTGGGCGGACATGCTAGGTAGCAATTAGGTGTGGACATTGGATGCTGAAGCGGTGCGAATGAACAGACGGTCATGTCGGATGTCTTGGTCGATGGAATGAAGTTGTCGTTGAAAGAGAGATGGGACGGTTACACTTCAGGGCAGAATCGAAAATCGATGTGGTCAGTTCAGAAGTCGATGAGAGGTTTGGGGCAGGGACAAGGGGCAAGGAAACAGCTTGGGGCAGGGGCAGCTGGGTATGAGCAGGGGAGGGAACCAAAGGGGGGAAAGGGGAAGGCGTGGAGGGGCAGACGAAGGTGGCTCGTGCACATGTCAAATGGATCACCAATAGGGCCCCGCTTGTTGGCCTTCATCCATCTTGGCTGGGCGGCTGCCCCTCTGCTCGGGCTCATCTCTCCTCGACCTCATTCTCCATCGTCAAGCAAGCGCATGCATAGCCAGGTAGGCACGCAGAGTCATGCCCGGAACCCACTGTGATGCTCGAGCAGCAAGCAATGCGAGATCACGGCGGCTGCAGCATGCGTCACAGCCATGTTCATGTACCCACCACCCTCACATGTCCCTGGCGGCTAGCCCCCAAACTCTTTACTATGTACTTGCCTAGCCCCGGCACGTTGCCGAGCTCGAGGTTACGTCTGGCAAGGATAGTCAGATACGCAGGGCGTCTAGAGCAGAGTCGTCTCCATCCATATCGCCATGGCGATAACCTTAATTCAGTCACCATCCGACCACTGACCACGCTGACGACACTCTTCATCGTGTCTGGCACGCCCGCGATTTTCTGTGCAGCGCGCATTCGGCTCCTTTAGAGGCTTAGTATACTGTAATGAGTGACGATGTAAGAAAGTCACGAGCACTTGATATCTGAAACATATAGATCTCGTAGGTCATCATGCCATAATCAGCAACACCTGTCACTGGCTCCCATGTATTATGTCTTTGATACTAAAACTTCTTGATATATGGAGAGTAAACCTTGAGTGAACTCATAAAGTGATGGTATGCTGGCGATCGTTGGATCCAGTCAACATAAAACTCAGACTCGTTCGAGCTCATAGCATTCAGTGAACTGGCCTGAACATCCTGGACCCATGTCATAGTGAGTCACGCCCTTCAGTATTGGTGATCATTCACTTTCTCTTCACAACCATAAAGCAGGCTGCTCATGATAACTCTGTTGAGAATCAATTCTTTTCAACACTAAGGCACTATGGACTCTAATGCCCCATGGCATGCATATAATGTTTAACTCTTCTTACAAGCCCCAGAAACAATGTTGTTAACATGAGGATTGTACAACTTGAACTGCTTGCCCATGTTGTTCACTGTAGGCGCGTCCATCAGACTCTTCATCTGAGACATTTGGTTGACATTGTCTGGAGAACGCCCAGCGCCAGCCACATCAAGGACCATCATAGCGATGGCGACTGGCGCCGAGTCAGGGTTCTCGATGACATCCTTCAGTGTCAAAGCAGTACTGCCGCCTGCTTCGATGGCATGGACGAGACGAGCCGCCATGAGGCCGGCGCGGCCTACTTGGCCTACAATGACGCCTACCAAGGGCAGGACCATGAGGATGGACTCAATGATGAGCATGATGAGATCCTTCTTCTTGGCGTCGTTGACCTTTTTCGCAATATCCTTGATCTCTTTCATGCTCTCGATGGCATCGCCAACCATCAAGACGGGGACGGCCAGGACATCGAAAAGCTCTGTGGGCGAACCGTGCCAGATATCTGCGCCGACATCCAGCGAGCTGGAAGAAAGAGCTTCGTGCAGTGAGTTGACGCCCTCGAAAGCCTTTCCGACAAGGTCTTTGGGGTTTGGAACGACCAGGTTCTCCCTGGGAACCGGGTAACCGTACTCGGCCCTAAAACCGCGATTGCAAAACTGGTCACCAGGGCTGAGACACGGCGGGGTCGTCGAAACCGTGTCAAACGTCACCCACTCAGGGTCGACACCTGCCTCTTCGAGGGTGGCGTTGAAGCCGGCGACATCGATCAGGTCGAACCAGAAGGAGCGGAACAGCTGCGGGCCCCAGAAGCGGTCGTCGCCGGTGCAGGATATCTCACGAGCTCGATGCTTCTGGTTTTCGTTGACGCCGTCGTCGAATCGCCAGCACTTGAAGAACTTGGTCGCCACGCCGTCCTTCTCAGTCATAATCTTGGAGATGGCAGGTTCAACAGCGTCGCGAATGTACTGCTCGTACGTGGGCCAGGCATCGTCATACCCTGACTTGACACCTTCGTACTCGGTCTCCCAGCCTTCCAGCATGTTGGCAAGGACATTGAGTCCGTGGTAAGAAGCGCAATCCGGCTCCATGTTGCTGGCTTGGCCGGCGAGCGCTTCCAGGCTTGCGTACTCTGTTTGGTAGTAACAAGGCCTGTAGCTCATTGCACAGCCGCCGGCGCAGAAACTGTCCTCCGATCTGCACAACAGCTGTGGACAAACGCCCCAGCCGCAAGTGTAGCGACACAAGAGGCGGATTCCAATAACTTCCCAGCCAAAATCAGGTTTGTCACCAGTAAAAGTGTCAGGCTTCGGAAGAACGAGTGCTCCGGTTTTGTCGCAGACGCAGGCGTCAATGGGGCAATATCCGTGCTTGCAGCCAAAAGAGCAGATCTGCTCGAGAGCCCGAAGAGCATGCTTGCTGCTGACAGCGGCCGGATTCGCCCTTCCGCTTGTGCACGACTTGGGTCTAAAAGGCGAGACGCTTGAAACAATGGGGTCCAGCTTGACCTTGCCGCAGTACTTCAGAGGACAGTACTCGTAACTACAGGCCACAGCACATAGGCCATCGTAGTTGGTGTCTCGATTTGCAGCAGGATAGCCCGGTGGACCGCGCACGATATTGCCCCCCTGGAGTGGACCATACTTGAGGCACATGCAGGCTTCGACGGGACAATAGTTGTACTTGCAAGTATACTTGCAGAGATCCTCAAACTCTCCAATGCCAGTGCCTTCGATACAGGCTGCGTCTTTGATGTTGATAGGGGGACTGCGAGCCGCAATCGAGGCGCCCCAGCCAAGATAAATCACAGGATTGAAGTTGTAGTATCCTTGTTGACACTCGCCTATGGGCTTGGCACCTATTGCGCTGGCCACGAGGCCGCCATTTCTTCGAATGTCGACACGAACAGCACCCAAAGCGGAGGTGTGTACGAAGCCAGTGTAGATACCCACACCACTATGAGGTTCGAATCGCCAGGATGGTTTGAAGGTCTGGCCGCCAATCGTCACCTCGGCCGTGGCATTCGACCCTAGCTGGGCCGCAAAGAAGACACCGTCCTTGAGACCCTCTGTCCATTTACCCTCAGGCTGCATGTGCGTTGCCGTGTACGCCGTCGTGCCTCCGTCATTACAACCCGAAGCGACGGACTGCTGTCGATACCACATCATCACACCCTCCTGTGTGATGGTTCCTGTACCAGTCTTGTAGAGGCTGATCGCGTATGGCAGGAATGCCCGCCAAGCGCCGTGCTCAATGCCCTTGACGTAGTTGAATGGGGCTTTCCCGTCATCGAGGGCCACCAGCGATGCATCTCCGCGAATAGGTCCGATGTAATGGGATTCGCCGTAGTCGTTCCAAGAGATGATTTGAATCCATTCGGGTTGGACGTGTAGCGCCTGTGCCCAACGGTCGAACCAAAGCGTCTCACCACGCCATAGCCAGTTCTTGTCGTACTTGGGCAAATTGGTGTAGAACCAAGGCGAAACAGGCATCATGTACGGCTTGTTGCCCAATGCCCTTCGATACGATGCGTCGATGTACGTGTCCTTGGACCAATTGGGGTGGTTCGGCCACGCCGCCCAGTTGAAGAGACCATCCGCGACGCCGTTGGCCAACTTGCTAGCAGGTTCGGCACCTTTGGATGACCAGTCTGGCACGAAAAAGCAAGGAACCTGCGCCTTGATGCTGATCCAGTCGTTGGCTTGGTCGGGGCCTTCAAAGGTAGATACCAGAGGAAGGCCATTGTGCATAAAGTGTGCACTGTCGCCAGCGTATTGGCGGAGAAGATCGAGGACTTCCCCTGCTGGCCACGGTCCACGGCCCGCATAGTCAAAAGAAAAGAGGAGCTTGAAGCTCTTGACCCTCGCTGCAGCAAATGCGTTCTTGATTTGATCCGCATTCATTTTCTCGCCGCGAGCAATGTTGAGTGCGAAAGCATCAATGCGTGACGCCTTGGCGAGTTCCATTTCCGTCTCCCATAGAGCCTGGTTATACGAAGCTGTGTTGCCAACCTTTGTGTGAGGGCGGGATGTTTAGCTGTAGCTCACTCGTGAATAGATGGGAAATATCCATTACTGACCATGAAGTGGGCGAACACAGCCTTAGCCTCGCCATTACATGCCAGCAGCGTAATGCTGTACAATATGAGTGTAATGATCCGCATCATGAATGTGTGAGATGAAGATTGAAAGCAAAGAGTGTAATGGAAGATGTATCCTAGGCATTGGGGCTTCCATGTCCTGCTTCACTTTATAAGAGTTTGACGTTCATCAGTGGGATCACTCACCTGCGATCGGCAGTATCATCCTTGACTCCCACTATGCATGCGTTGACGAATACGAGCGACCTTAGGGATCTTGAGGTTGTTTGCAGTAACATGCAGAGAATCTCGTTCTGGACTCAATTAGACACGGAGCTGAACCAGGGCTCGCCGAAAAAGCCAAATCAGGATTTGAAAGCCGAATCAATTACTCCCACCCATCATGAGGCCACCAGGCTTTCCTGACGTCTGAACTGTTCTTCGTGTTATCACTCCCCACGGAAATGCAAAATAGATGTCGAGCCTTGACGCTAGATCATTCTGGACTGTTGAAGATTTGGACCCTGCAGATAACCAAGCCTCTTGCTCAATCAAAATATGCAGCCACATGAAGAATGCCACTTGAATCTACCAGCGCGATTGGGTCGGTTAAAAAGGGGTGCTGGACCCTTAAGGATTCTTCTCCGCCGCAACTCAGGAACTTTTGTAGCTCAGGAACTTTTGTAAATGAGAAATTTTTGCGCTTGCATCAACAGTAGTACCGAAGCTCAAACGGTTTCAACCGAAGAAAGCAGACAAGGGAATTTTGTTGGGCGGGAAAATAGAAACCGAGGAGACTCAGATGAGCATTGGGGCCGAACTTTCCACTTCAGGTAACTATAGTCCGAAGCGAAGCCATTGGAGGCGGTTCTGGAGCAGAACGTTCTGGCCAGAAGGCACAACACTGCAAGTAGATTCAGCATCTGAGTCTGGGATCCTTCCATCACATCCCTGAGGCCCAGCTCGCTGTCAACTTGTTATTGGACCATCTTTTCGCTCGATTTCTTTTAAAGAGTCATCATGGCCCACTCGAAGTGAAGCGATGGGTAGCTGGGCTGCTGCTTGCGTTCTTGGTGCTTCGTCTCACCTTCATCCTCACTCGCTTGGCGGACCTACTGGACCCTCAGCTTTGCGCCGATCATCGGTATCGGTGTTGAATGAGGTGATAAGCCCCGAATACGCAGCTGAGACAACACGCAGTCACTATGCTGGCCTACGACACTCTCATTCTAGGCTTTGGCCTCTTTGCCGGACTTGCTGGAGCTGTGGGCGAGTCAAAGGGCGGCGAACTATACTTCATGTACAAGGCGTACCGCAGTAAGTCAACCAATGAAACCTTGCTCTCCTTTTCCCATTCCCGCACTTGATACACGCAACTGCTCCTGACCTACCGACCCATCGTGGAAAGGTCAGCCCTTCTATTGGAAGCAACGGTATCGAACGATGCTAGATGTATGATCGACTAATAAAGCCATGTAGTGGACGTCGAAGTGAGTTGGGCTACCAGGCCCGCGGGTTCAGCTGACCCCAAGCCATGGTCCCTAGGTCACAAGTGCGACTCGTGGCCCGAGGACTTCGCAACAGATGCGGAGTACCAGCAATCGCTTGCTCAGGGAAGACAGGGATGTAATCTTCTTGGGTTCATGAGACAGTTTTCCACGCGCAGCCTCACCGGAGCATCTCTCAAAGCAGCTCGCGTGAATGTCCCTGATCCTTGGAACCCAACCCTGGAACAGCTATTTGATGTTGGCGAATGGGGGAGAACGAAAAATGATGATAAGTTCATCTACTCAAAGCTGAATCTGGTAGACGTCATGGGCAGGGCCAAGCCTGCGGAGTTCTGGTACCCAGACCCGAAGAGCGAAACACCAAAGTTGATACAAGGCGATCGATACAGCTTTGAAAATTCGCTGGCTTCGACCGGGTTCATTGCTCAACACCAGATGACCCGACAATCTACCATTGCAGCGCCTTACATCACGGACATGATTGAGGGCTTGAAGTGGGCAAATCATGGGCGCCGCAAGGAGGAAGCTGATCGGTGAGTTGCCTTGACCCCAGATCACCACAGGCGTATTGCGCGAATGTAACAACAGTCTTCGAGGACTCTACTCTCATGAATACTGACGGCCACTTTAGAATGGTTAAGGACTACATAAAGGCAGTCAAGGAAATCGACCCTCAAGCTAGCGACAAGTGGGTGATGACCAAGCCAACCAAAGCGGTCAAACCGCCGGAGAAAATCGGCACATGGGGGGAGCTTGATACCAAGGAGAGCTACAAGGCCATGAAGATCTCGAAAGATGGACGGGCCGCTGTCAAGGAGCTCAACAAGACCTACGTGAAGAACTACAGAAATGATGGTTCAGAGGAATCCCACGCAAGGGTCATCGCGTACACAAAGAATGTCCGGGATCAGCTCCTCGCAGCGACGCGGCCGCCTTGCACTGGCAGTTGTGGCATTTGTCACCCCAGCAATGCTCTCTAATGCTTAAACTATGGTGGTCTCAGTTGCCAGGAAAGCCTCGCAATGAACCCGCTGAGTTCATTATATCAATAATTGAAAAGCCATGGTGTTATACTGGAGGACGACCAATGGTGAATGCAAGATGTGAAAGTCCTGGAATCTGACAGTCGGCGCTAACGTGATTGGGCTACCAGTGGCGTAGGAAGTCAAAGAACGCACTCGAATCTTCGGCCAAGTCCCATTGTCTTCCTCAACTCCGCCGAAGGTCACGAAGGGGCAATATTATTCCCCAGCCTTCGGCTTCGGGCATGGCAAACCACCCACGCGGCCTTCCTGACACCCTGCAGCACGCCAAAGCCAAGTCAGAAGTAGACGGGAGGACTTGGAAGTTCGCATTTCCCCCGCCTTGCAATCGCCCAATGGGACGGCCGGCTCATCTCTAGGCCGCGTGGCGATATCTTGCCTTGCCGCCTCCTGCCAGCCTGTTCGACAGCATTCTGGCCACTTCCAACAGTGTGAGTGCCTGTGGCAATGACTGGCGCGATCGAGATACGCAAGTGTGTTTTGGCCTCGCCTGACCTACGCGTTCACTCCTCTCTTGTGTGCTAGGCCACGCATCTTGCCTGCCTAATTCTTTCTGCCTAATTGGTGTGCTGGATGGATGCCTCTCTTGTGTGATGCCGCCACTGCCAATCTGGGGCATATATATCCATCGATAGATGTGTTTTGTAGTTCATGGTTTCTTCAACTTCTCAGCTTCTCTGCTTCGCCACTTCATCATATCATCCCTCGCGGCCCAAGAATCTCAATCATCCTTTTTGAACCGCTGCAGCAACCATGTCCTGGAACAACAACGGCCACCCGTTCAACTCCTATCCCGGTAACTGGGACAACCACCCGTTCTTTAACGCCATGCCCGGGTTTGGCATCGACCACGCCGATCAGTCCAACTCTAACGATCAGGGACCCCACCCGTGGGCCCAGAATATTCAGAGCATGCTGAACGCCTTCCCCTTCGGGCCCGGCCCCGGCGGTCCTCGTCGCGGCTTCGGCCATGGCGGGCCCGGCGGTCGAGGCGGCTGGCGCGGACGCCGCGGTCGCCACGATCACCACCGCGGCGGACCACCGCCTCCACCTCCGCCCCACGACGGCGCGCCCGCAACCGACCCCGTCGCCGACCCCGACACCTCCGTGTCAAAACCCATCTACATATCTCTCTGTATGGCGGTTGCGGCTATAGACACAAAAGAGAACGATAGAGAAAGAGAGAGGGAGATAATGTAGGGGAGATACTAAATATATCTTCGATATGGTTTATGTAGGATGTTTGGTCGTATATAGATAGTTGGGAGGATAGTTGGGTGGTGTCAAATAGTGGTATAGAGGGAAGATGGCATGGAGAATGAGGCTACATATTCACGCACGGTGTATGTATAGTAGATGCTCACTATTGATGTTGAGCGTACGCGAAGAGAGTGATGTGTGTAAAGACGAGAGATGTAGGGCGCACACCCAACGAGATTGCACTAAGAGCTAGAAATAGCTAGTCTCAGGCGGCACGGTGCTGGTACAAAGCCTGCGCTTCAGAAGAACAGCGATGAGTGAGGATCAAGACCTTAATGTTTGCGCCTGGCAGGCGAGTTATGATTGAGGACGGAAGCTGG